TATGTTTTAATTTCTTTTTCCGAAATTCATTTTTGAAAAGAGAATAGGAGCAGACAGACTTTATTATCGTTGGTGTCGATCCTTTAGATAAAAGAAATTCGGTATCGTTAGAGTGTATTCTTATGTGTTTCAATTTGATATCCTTCGATCATGTCACAACTGTTCTTCAAAGTATAATGTATATAATGTATATAATGTATAATATATATGTACAATTTATTATTTAATTTTATTATTTATTATTATTAATTATTTACAATCATTATAATAAATCTATTTTTTACTTAGTGCATTTAAAAAATTATAAAATTATTGTGAAAGATTTCTTCGAACTTGTTTGTCAGATAGAACTTACGTCTGAATTGACAGTAGACAGAAAATGGGCGGCCACGTGTTCTGGAAGTATATTTGCGAGCAATTTCTGATTGTAGGCCTTCAAGTGTTCCATTTCTTCCTTCTCCTCAGTCGCTTGTAACTTCCACAGGAAATCCAATCTGTATTGGTACACAATATGTATGTCAATAGTCTTCATCTATTTCTGCCATGAAAAATATTTTAACAAATTATATCATGTTTTTCAGAAAGTTTTATGAAGTATATTGACATATGTGTTCTAGAATTTCTGATATGTATCGTGTCACGTATTTTTAATACATATCATTGTAATTGGCAGATTTTTATAAATTTGCACGTAACAATATATACGTATCTTTTTAGTAGTAAAATATATTTGCTTTAATTAGATTTCAAAGTGTCAATATATTCTTGAAATATCTTGAATATTACTTGCACCTCTATATACGCGACTCATGTTTCGACTATGAAATTATTCTGTGAAAATCAATTCCTGAGATCCCCGATCCGCGACATTGTTTGTGATGAGATGAAGGCTTTCGTGGGAAATTCCACGAAGGCCTCAAAGGTTTCTAACGTGCAAGTTTAGGACGTATCTATGAGCTAATGTTGCGTAAGTTTCGAGAAGCGAAATGTTAAAATGTAAGCATGTTCGAATGTTCGACCTGTAGGTCGCCTCTGTGTGCTGAGAGTGTGCCACTAGGCAGGCCATGAAGAAAACCACTAGTACACCTGCCAACCATCTTCCAGCGGGTTCTACGTCGTCCTCATTTAGTGCCTGGTAAATGCTGACCCCGAGATAACAAGCCACAACAATGCTCAATACGGCTACTTTAAAGACTGACGTTAGGATCTGATACACCGCGCAGGTTACCATCACCAGCATCACCAGAACCGGAAACAACTGCAATCAGTTGCGGAGTGTCAGTCTGTGAATTCCTGTAGTTTCGTGAAAATCGCTCTGTATATCACGTCCGTGCTAAAAGTTCTCTAACGTCACGGAATTGTACGAGACCAACGAACACGTTCTTTTTAATTACAATGTAACAATTTTAAAAACTTGTAGTTATTTTAACTTTTTCGTCAATGCATATGGGTACCTCGTTATTTAAATTTAAACAGCAAACATATTTTTGTGTAAATTTCGTTATGATGTTTCAAAAACTCCATTTTTTTGAACAACAACTGCAGTTTTGCATATATTTTATCTCGTTTTATTTTTACATTTTTTTTTACATTTTTTGCGAGAACCTTCTGAAACATGGTAGTGAAAAGGTGAAATATTGTGCACAAGAAGAGTTCACGGAAGAGTTAATAAAAGAGTTAACTGCATAAAATTTAACATTAATTTTGCATGAATTCTACTAGTATTTTATTAATAGATTATGAGTTCGTTAAACTTGCATAGCTTTTCTAGCCGTGAGATCATAAGTGCAGTCTCTTCTTTTGAAAATATTTCTGATCTTTTTTTATTCGCGTTTCTTTCATAACCAATTCGAGCGAAGACTCGATTAATCATTGTCTGTTTATTTAACGCCGATGTCATATAACTTACGTCGCAGAAAAGAATATAATCGCAAATGCCGGGGGCATTGATATTCTTCGTCGGTACTCTCATTACGCTGGGATGCTCGTCCGACGATTCCTCAGCGAAAGGCAACGAATTATTGTTGACGCAAGCCTCATTTCCGATCAGTGTGATCTGCAGCGAGAAAAAACGATAAAAATTCGGTCGTTGTTTACTATTTTACTACGAGAATGCAAAACATTCGATCGCCCGCAGTAAATGCACAATCCGTTTGTGGACCGATATTTTTTTCCATCCGTTTGTGATTTGCGAACGTTCATGGCAACTTTATTATTCCGTAGCGTGTATGATTAATCGCAGTATCGATGCTCGCGTTCGATTTATTACCAAAAATTTTGGCTTGGCATGCTCTAATTTATGTTGCGTTATAGTTTTAATATGAATTTTCCGAAATAAACGGAGAATGAGACCGATTATTGGATTAAAAAACTGAGAGAGAAAGGCGAGAGAGAGAGAGAGAGAGAGAGAGAGAGAGAGAGAGAGAGAGAGAGAGAGAGAGAGAGAGAGAGAGAGAGAGAGGAGAGAGAAGAAAACATGTGTTGAAAGCTTTATTCGCATATAAAAAAATTTATTTAATATTACGCGTGATGAATGTCTTATAGGACTAATGGATTTTATATTTCCTGGATTTTTTGTCTCCGATTTTTCGAATATTAAAATTTTTGAATTTATTTAAATTATACTTGTCAGCTTGAATATTTCTTAAGTTTTGATATTCATGTTTTTCAATAATCTAAAAAATAATAAACTAATGCAAATTTTTTACATATATTTTTGAAGAAGTGATTGTCGTGATGCACGAGAAATGTTTAGATAGTTTCATAGTGTACTAACATAAAATACAAACAATAACTGCATTAAGCTTCGATTACTCACCAGCGGCGATAATACCGTGATGAACGTTAGAAACACGACGATGGATGCAATGCTTTGCGCGATGATGCGATTCTCAAAGATCTGTAACGCCATGCTTCTCACCCATTTTGGCACTCTCTATGAAACGTGCACAATTAGGGCAAGAGCGATAAATAAAATATTAATTGATCGTTTCATTTATGGAAAATTCATGGCAATGTATATAATCGGGCGAATGGATACGACATACTCTCTCTAAATTTCTTGAAGTGCAATCTCACTCCAAAAGAGTGAGTAAAATACTGCAACTGTTGAAAAAGAGTGAAAAATTTGCACTTTTGAATAAGAGTGACAAATTTTCACTTCTTTTTTAGAGAGATTTATTTCAAAGGAAAAAAATCTCCTTTTTTGTCTTGATTGTTGTGTCATTTATTTATAAAACAATTGCTCTCTGTACTGTGTAAATAAAATTCCTCTCTAAATTTCTTGGAGTGAAATCTCACTCTAAAAGAGTGAAACTCTTTCTATCATTCTTATTTAAGAGTGCAAATTTTTTCACTCTTTTTCAATAGTAACAGTATTTTAATTCTTTTAGAGTAAGATTTTACTCCAAGAAATTTAGAGAGCAATTTTATTTATAAGTAGAGAGAGCAATTGTTTTTTTATAAGTGATACAACAATCATTTGACTTTTATTCTACTATGTGTTTTTGTCCTTATTCACTTGCCTCTAGACTATTAATTAAATAACGGGATAATTAAAGGTTACGATTCTCAGGATCATCGGAAGAGATTAATGGGTGCGCTGTGACCAGAATCGACGGTTTCAGCAGTGACCTGGAAGTTTGCCACCTGGTCAGGGTCAAAAAGAAGTGGCTCTTTTCCAGAGAGTTTTGACGTTGTACGTGACATATCGCGCGATTTATTTAAATTGTTGTTATGTAGATAGATGTGTGACTTTATATAATAACCATAAGGGGAAAAAGGACAATAATTGCTAATATCTAGTTTTGCAATCCCGAGGGAAGAACGAAAATTCATACACTTATTCGGATCTCAAGAGAATGTATGCTAAAAAAAAATTTATTAAATTTTAATTTTTTTGAATAATACTAAGTAAACATTTGCTTACAGTAAAAAAATATTTACTCAATAAAAAAATAGTTAATTAGTTAATTAGATAATCAGATTCTTCGGATTCGTCCATTTTCAACCATACATTTTTCTCAGTGTATTCAAACAGATGTTTATTAAAATTTAATATTTTTTTTCAGTGTATCACACTTGTGAGTTCTTACCTCGTTTTTTTCCGCCAATAAAATGCCATTGACCAGGGCTATCACCAGCACACTAATCGCCGTGCAAACGTAGAAGTATACGCTCCTAGGAAGATAAAAGGGATATTTCTCTTTTTTCTCGCGCTTTTTCTCGAGTTACTTTTGTGAGAAATTTTTCGAATGTTATCAGATTTATGCCGTCTTATACGCTAACTTATCGAATGATTTTCGCGAAAGTGCCCATAAATATTAGAATAAAGGACAATTCAATGTCAGTAAAATACTACAGTATTTTACACATCGGGTCTCAAGAGTATAGTAAAAGGAAGATATCACTACTATATAGAAGGTAGAATTTATTAGTACGTGTATTTACCCGGCGAGGGTGATGGCTATTGCGACCACAACGACCATGTAGACGAAACCGGAGCACACAAAATAAGCCGAGAGCATCCTGTCCCTCTCGCGCGAGTACTGCAACAGGTTATTTAAATAATTGCAATATCGCATATTGCCTCTACGTTTTCGTACGTATGTTTACTGCTAATGAATGCAGTATTTTCAATCAGTTATTATCAGTTATTGAACAATTTTGTAGACAATTTTGATGTGATCTTTCTTCTTAATGAAAAAATGTATGTACATTTTGTTCAATCAATGACGACATAATTCTGTCCAATCAACGACACATAGTTTAATTACGTGAAATTCAAAATAACTCAAATACATGTTTAAGTAAATTAACCAAAATTAAATTCAAACGATCTTCTATTAACATGAATTACTGCGTAGTCTGGTCACACTCAATTGTATACATGGACAGTTCAGTACGCAATTACAGCTCATATTTCGCACATATATATATATTACTATTAAATTAATTAAATCTCTAAATTCGAAAAAAGATTATTCATAAAAAACAATGTTTAAAATATTTAAATAGAATTTATATTGCACAAAAGTTAGATAATTATTTTAATAAACGCTATCGTGTTCACTTAAGTGTGTAAAAT